ATGACCCGCCATCTTCTCTTATTGTACGCCGTACCCTGACTCGGCCCAGCCTCGAAATCTAGTCTCGGATTGTAATTAATAATTCATATCTCAAGAACAAAAAATTAGATACATTTCAAATTTTCTCTGAAAATCCATTTCAACGAAACAAAGAAAATTTTACACTTTGAATTAATTCATCACAATTTCACACATGAGTGCCGCATTTAATTCTTTATTCCAATAAAAAAATGCGAATTGCCAGTAAATACAGAGAAAGTGTATTGATTTCATTCAAAATATGAGATTTTCAAAATATTAAAATAGATATTAAAAGACAATTTGAAATTTCTTTGGGTTTTCGTTTTTTGAGATATAAGTTATTAATTGTAAGCATGGACTGGGTGTTTGGCGCTCGGTCCGTGGCCGGGTCTGGCGTACACGATTTCAAAAGACCAAACAGAGATGATCGCGGTTCTGGTTGAAAGTGAGCACCGTGATAGATTTTCTGCAACGTACTAGACATGTTTTCACCGTCAAGGACATTCTTTGTGGACCCAGTCATAAGTACCGACACAAGCGTAGGTTTTGTCCGCTACAGACGAGAGGATGTTCTAACATACAAAGAAATATCCAACTAGCCATTTCTACATAGAAATCTATATATTTTCAAATTCGTCATGTGGCATCGTGGCCAATACTTTACAAATGTACTCCAAAAAAAAAAACAAAAAACAACAACTTGAAGGTAATTTTTATGTGTCACTCAGATTAAGTCCCTTACTTATAATGTAGAAATATCTATTTAAAAAAAAAATATGTCAAATTTTTCGTGAGTTCTGTGTAACCCATGTCACTTTAGCACATGTATGTTGACCGTAGGATGGGGATTTGTGCCAGCTCCCTGTGTGTGCTTTATCAAATAGTTCGCTTGTTATTCATTGAATTTCGTTCATGTAATATTTTGTTTAGATGTCACTAACGTAATATACTACGAAGTGTTTTCATTGGCTGCGCCAGCCAATAATCGATTGTGATGTCATGAAATAGGCAATGACGTTATGTCATGAATTGAAAATGGTTGTCTCCGTTTGATTTGTCATCGGCATTTTGTCATTTAAACAGTGTCTCGAAAAAATATAAACTCAGTGAAATAGACATTCATCGAGTGTCCTATATAGATAATATATAAACGGTATATTAAGCACACTAACAGCTCTAAGGTCTGTTAATTGTAAAATATACTTATCATTTCTGTTCAGTCATTCATATAGGATAACCAGTATATTAAGTCATGCGTGCCGTTCGCCGAGTAATGATCTCGTTTTTGTTGTTATCCAAAACTACTTCAGAATAGCACTTCCATTTTATAAAAGATTTATCGAGAACAGAAATAAAATCACGCTTTATACAGGTAAGTCACTGTAATTGTGTAAAGTTTTATGAGTCATACAGCTGATCATTGGTAGACAATCGTACACACCTGACTGTATATAAAGGGAAACTCATTTGTGAAGTAGGTTCGGTTTTAAAATTGACGCAAGTAAAGCTGCAGAAGTGAATCAGCAGTCATTTACTGATTTATCAAGTATCTAAAACTGAGTACTGGGGAATCTAAATACGAATTATGGTGATTCACAATATTTTACTCAGCACAGACTCATTTTTTTTATACAATTAAGCAATTAAGGCCGATAACTATAACAGAGCTGAACAAAACAACATTTAAAATGTTCTACAATACAGTGATCTATCTAATAAAAACGTACACTTGTTAAGAAAAGAATATATTTTCTTTTACTAAATGCTTAAAATGTTATCATGCTTTGGGAAAATAAAAGATGTCTGAAGTAATCCGGCTGGGAGTTGCGACCGAGAACACTCATAACTGAAGTAAATTAATTTACATTTTAACCTCTGAGATATGGAGAAATGCCTCATGGAGTAAAGTTGTTATGTTCAATTTTTGTTATTTTTAACACTGAGTGAAAATAAACATTTTTGTAGTCTCACCTGTACACGTAAAACACAGAACACGGATCATTGTATGAAATTATTAAAACAAATTTAAACAAAACTGCACGATGATGAAGACGAAATATGCAATATATATGCAACTGTAACAGCAATGACATCATTGAGTCCGAACTTCCATGGCTTGCGAGCGTGCTTGTGTTGTGTAACAGCATAATTCGGTAGGTGCGGTTAAATGTATAATTTAGTGTAGACTATGTTTAATTTGTATTTTGTAAGAATATACTTATTTAGCCATGAACTTCGAGTAAATCTCTCTCTCTCTCTCTCTCTCTCTCTCTCTCTCTCTCTCTCTCTCTCTCTCTCTCTCTCTCTCTCTCAATTAAAACTTATATGTATATAATTGTTTTGAGGCATCTTTTAATGTATATATATGCAATTAGTTTGCTTCTAAAGGAAAGGGCGTTAACAATGTTATTGTAACTTGTGCCCAATCCTTAAATGTTTAAAATAAACAGTATTAACGAATGTGTTTCAATCATTAAAGATAAAGATACCAAAAATATTGACTGCATCCCTTAAGTGAATGTATTAGTGAGGATAGTGTTAAATACCTTAACCCAGTGAGCAATGACCTGACAATTTATCGAGAGAAATCACTCCTTGCTTCAGTTAATAATACTGTTCTATTAAAATCTGCAAAGTTTTCAATGAATGAGCTTAAAATAACGTTTTAATTGTCGGTGAAGATATGAATTGGCGAATTTTTGACGACTTTTACCAAACACAAATGATATTTTAACGTATATGTGCCATTACAAGTTTAATTAAGTGCAGCGACTGTTTTTCTCAACACGTCATAAATGCGTGTTTGGATTCCATTTAGAATAGAAGCTATTGTTTTTTTTTACAATAATAAGTTGGCTGATGGACCTGATGGACATATTTATGGTTTAAGTACCCTGTTGTTTATGTATATAGGTCACGCTCTGATTTGGGTGACAAAATGTTGTTTACTTTTCTCACGGACTCGCATTTAATATAATCTTTCCTTCTCTTGGAGGTGAGATAGGTAGATCTCAACCCGAGAGGAAAGAGGATTGATTTAGCAAACACGAGGCTGTCCGGATGTTTGCAACTTAAAGATCTTTTCCCGAAGGTTGAGACCCCTCTATCTTGCCAACAAGAGAGAGAATGATTATTTTCCTCTTATCCTGCTGGTTGTCGTATGTGTTTTTATTTTCCCAAGGCTTCGCATCGTTGACCTGACTCAATTGTTGTCAAGATGTCAATGAATTCTTACTGTGACGTAATATCATTGCCGTATCCGCCGTCTCAACCTTAGGATAGGACACGGAATTTTATTTCACCAAATATAAATATCCATTCTACCGAATATGGTAAGATTAACAAGAATATTTCCCTAGCTGGAAGTTAGGACAGATAACTCTCTACCCCAGGAGGAGATTCTTAATTGGCGAACCTGAGGCTTTACCGAGGGATAGACTGTCAGGAGTCTCCTATAAGGGTAGATATTTCTCTGTCCTACCCCTTCCACCTTACATAAATAAGCCAAAAAATATACACGTGACATTAAAATCATCAGTAAATTTGCATTTGATGCCCGGATGACAATTGTTAATGACGTCTATAACTCCAACCTTGACACGTCATAGATTTGACGTCATTTACAATGACACGAACCTTAAATGTCACTTCCTGTGCACGCAGAATGTCTTGCTCGGGTATATAGAGATATCCTACTCTCAGTTTTTATCCTGCGAGTTAGAATATTTTTCTCTCCCTCTGCTGTCTTTATTAATTACTCGTATGTGTGTGTATGTGTTTTTGTCCCAATGCTTTGCATCGTTGTCGTGGCGTCATTGCATTGTTAGTGTGACGTCACATTCGTAATTTTTCATCTCCGAGGTTGCCATAAGTTGCATGCCATTTTTAAATTAATTAAAATGTTGACACGGTTCAAAATATTCACATGTACTTGACGTTGTTCTTAAAACAAATTATATATAAAACTACGCAATTCATTGAATTATGGAACAAGTGCACATACCCATATAGATTTTGAATTTTCTTTTGATCGTTTTGGATTTTCCTATGTCACTTCGTTTGCTTCAAAATTTGGACCCTTAACATCACTGTCGAACCTAGATGGACGAACCAGCTGTATTCTGTGATTTAATCATTGTTTGGGTCTACTCTAACTCTAAAGTTGTATTAAATGGTGCTTTTCACTCGTGTGTCTTTTGTACAATAGTACGATTAATTTAAAATACTGTGAGAAGGCCACCTTTGAATGCGTGCAGATGACCATGAAAAAGCCATTTCTATGATCTGTAACGACATAGGATCAACGTTATGGAAATGTTTACACAAATATGAACTGACCACACCGGTTTTAGAATGTCCCTTAAGAACACTCAGTTGGATTATTATATTTTAAAAAAAGTACACCTGTGGCCTCACGAGCTTAGATCGCCCATGTATACACTCTATCAGGTTCCATAATGTATAACTGACCTAAATCCATGTATTCATACTGAAAAACGCCTATATTGTCATGACAGAACTTAGTATACAGTAATTTTGTGATACTAATGTTCGGGATAATGACGCCATTCTTTTTACCACAATGTTTCACGGTTAGGTTCACCGATGACGCCAATTATCAATTTCTCTCGACGATATAGATTTTGTAAAATTAGTGCATCAATGTCAGAATATTTAAAGCATGGTTAGTTTGACATTAATGTGTCATACTATGTACTTTTGTACTTGTGAATATTTATCTGAACATAAGAAATGTCATTTGTGTTAATTGTTTCACGTTTCAGGCTGATCATAAAAAGGAAACAGAAATGAAAATATAAACAACAGATGACTATATTTTTAGCATTCTTAAGCTTGCCTATATGTTGATGTGTATGATTATGTTCAGTCATCAGACCTAGACGCACGACGGGTACACAGTATATAATAATTTGTTACAAACAGAAAGTCTTCAGAAGTGTCTAGATCCGTGGACGAAGATGCTGTACAAGTCTTGGTAAGTAGAAATCAGTACGCCATCATGTAGTCTTAAATCAGCATTTTTATTTATCTGAATTACTACACTTTAACATAACATGGCACGTTGGCTGTACAGCTTAGTATAGATATTATCACTTTATGTGTTACATACATGCCTTTTTCTCTTGTGTACTTTCTTCTTGGTTTTTGTCCTTTGTGACAACTTCTTCAAAAGCATATATCACAATGTTTCTTTACAAACCCTTTTTCAAGTTAACTGTAGTGTTGAATTTTAAAGATGTATTTTATCTCATCGTTGGCATTATACTGCAATTTTCATAAATTGTTGTTTACTTGTGCAAATACATACATTGGTTCATAAAAGATACAATGTATCTATGATAAATTAAGCATGTACTAGGTATACCTATGTATCGCCACACAATGACGAGAGAGAATTAAAACTGTTTAACAACGATGGTTTTGGAACCTTCTAAAGTTTGTCATTATTAAATGTTTGCATTGGTCTACGTGAAGACCGACAGAATCAAAATTACTTATTTATTCTTTCTACACTGAAGTGACAAAGATCTCGATAGCTAAGTCGGTAGAGCGAAGGGAAACGTAATTACTCTAGAAAGCATTTGACAGGCCTCCCGTGTGTTGCTCAATGAGGAAGACACCAGCCACTAAAAGGAGACCACGCCTTCAATGACCCTGGGTGTTCACAGAGCGATAAATGTAGCCAACAAATAATAGAATATCACATGTCAAGTCACCTTTAAAGTCCACCATCTTTGAGCACATGAAATTATGTTTTAAATATTTCTCAACGTATGTGGTCTCCTGAAATCTAATACCGACTAACACAATATCTTTTAAAAAGCTAGTAGAAAGTGAATGGTGCCTGAGTAATAATCATTGTATGGCAATATTTTCCTAAAAGCTGTATAATAAGGTAATGATTGCGATTTCTCAATGGTGAACTTTCTACTACTAAATAGCAATGTACTTGCATCCCAAACAATTGGTGTTTGTATGTCGCAGTCGATTCGATAGTCAAGATCCTTTTCCAATCACGATTTTCATGCAAGATGGCAACTGGCTGACATACCCATAACATAGGGTTTCGAGAGATGCAGGCTGATGAAAAACATCAAGAAAATGCCAGCATGGCAACAGTCGTCATAGTGATTCTATTGAGAACTATTCTGTTTTTCAGTGCTTGGATGTGTTTGATGCTGGTTATTTTGCCTGTTGGTTCCGTTTATGTATATATTGTTTTCTCTGTGAAAAAGTTCTTTCGTTCGAAGTTTGCTCTAGTTCTATTAAATATGTGTTAAAATTTTGCTTCTGTTAATGTTCTTATTTGTTCCTATTACAAAAACCTTCTTGTCAACAATAAGCATCGACGTGCATTAACCACAAAACGCCTAATTTTTAAACATTTGACAGATAGATATTTGGTTTGGAATTTTTAATCCTTCAACTAGATAAGGAATATTACTGGGTCATATGAACAGTAGGGTCAATTTGATATCAACACGAAAAATTCCACTACTAAATTATTAATACATTAAATCCATCTGTATTTGGGGGTACGAAATCGGATTAAATTTAACAACAGACCACGGACATTGATGAAGCATGCCATCGTAATTTAGTATTGTATAATATCCAATAAACCTGATATTAGACAGAAGAGATGCAGTAGAGAATGTTAATATTTTCCCGCTATCTAAAACTGATTGACCGCGTACCCGTTCTCGAGTTTTCATACATGTATATGTATAGATGATATTTGACCATGTTTTATTTATCTTCAGTAAAAAATGGCTGGCGTATTCAGTCATATTCACATTCCTGACCGGATGTCTGGCAGTGGAAATGATCGTAAAAGAACCATGGCCTGTAGGTAATCACTTCCGGGTGGAGGCCAAATGTTCTTTGACTATAACAGAATACCTAACTTCATTCCACGTATATATATCATTTGATCGACCAACGACCAACCTTGAGGTAAGTGTTTGCAATTTCAGACCTTTGCTGATGTGTTGACAATAATCAACCAACTATATTGTTACATCCGAACACAGGATCGGTTCTAAAAACTATAAAACAAAACAGATATATCTAAATGATTCGAAATGGATTTTTGTAGGCTTAAGTCATTATGCGTTAAAAGACCAATGATACATTAGAAATGAAGAAACACAAACGTGTATCCATTCCCACTCACGTTAGATACTGTAATCCGTGTGTTATTTTTGTTTGATTAATTATGAAATATTGAATTACATGAACACTCAATGATACAAGAATTTATTGCATTTATTGTGATAGTAATATACGTTGATAATGTGTAAATGCTTCAAAATTGAGTTGAATTGAGGTATGCGTATATCCGAAGAATAATTTTCTTATGCAATCTTATGTCGATTGCAAGAAATTATCAAAGGAGAAGAAGAATATCAGATACCAAAGGTCACCTAAGGTCACTGACTTTGGTAATTTTGCCATAAAGGGTTAACTCTTTTGCTATTTAGTTGAATCTCATAAATTATGACAAAGTCAATATGAAAGGTATATATGAAATGCTGACCAGCAAAAGCATTCTTACATTCTGGTCGAGATATTCGTGACCATGGCACAAGACCTATGTAATTTATATGCATCTAAAGCATGCATGTGATATCATATTATACTATTATATAATTATCTAATTATTTTCAGTTAATCGCCTAAGAAATCCCTGCCATTTCAAAATGTTATCTTACTCGTCAATAGAAAGATGATGTTTTGTTAATCATAGGTATATAACAAATCATAAGAACAATGAAATGCAGATTAATGAAAATGACAGGGAGGTTTTATGGTCGTAGTAATGATCTCATTTTGGAAATATTCTATTTCTTTGTGTAGTATGATACTGGGCGTATTTGATGCTCGTTAGCTTGCCTGTTGATTCCGTTGTTGTCTACCTTGCTTTTATAAGGAAAAGTGAAATGATGTACGTAGATTAACCTAAATTTACAGGGTGGGTATCGTCAATGAAGCAGAAGATGCTTACTCTTTCAGAACACCTGGTCTTATTTTTGTGGGTTGTTTTCAAGAGTCTCTGTTGTTTTTTTGTTCATGTTTAACTGAGGTTCACTGCAATTGTGATAGTAATATGATTTTGTTTACATGTTGGTATTTTTTGTTGTTATTGTAAAAAAAAAACAACTAAATAACCATGCTTATCTTAGAATTAACATACCAAAACATTTTAGATATTTTTTTAAAAAACTTTCCGCCAGGGTTTGAAGATCAGCTGCAATGTGTTACGCATAAATTGTTATACGTTACTTTAGGTGTTCATAGCAGATGAGAGAGATAAGGAACCGAGCGGGTTATGGTACTATGTACAGACGAAATACCCCTACGGATCAAACCAGTCTCCATTAGACATGGTCTTCCATGTTGACCTTACCACTAATGAAAAACCTAGTGGTGTCTGTTCTGAAGTGAATGGCGATAGGCTTAACGTTAACACAGCAGGACAGATGACGACAAAAAGTACTACGTCATCTAACGTAATAACGACTGTGCCCTCAACTACAAGATCACCAACGACAACAACTACAACCACGACGGTAACAGCTCCAACCACGAAGGTAACAGCTCCAACCACGAAGACATCTACTTCTACAAGCGGTCCAACAACACCTACAACTACAACAACAACAACAACAACAACAACACAGAGAGCAACAGGGGTCACATCAGGCATGTACATTGTTTATTGAGGCTCAACGGGTTAGGGCAATGAGTATAGGATTGTGGTATTATCATCATCATTATTATCATTATTACACATTGTCTGAAGTGAAATTTGATTTGATATCTATGCAAGGAATCTATTTATATGTACAAGAACATATCACCTCCGCGTGTCTAAATCGGTTAATAGTTCAATCACAACAATAGTGGGACACTGGGGTGACATCTTATTTATGAAGACGGGTTTACACAGATATTAAGAAATGAAACGGTTAATATTTTTGATGTTCTCCGATTTGTGAGAAATAAACCGACGTTCTGGTAATATTTCTTTTTTAGTGCCACCACCGTACGACTATGGGGAATTGTTACGGCTGTCAATACTGTTCTACGCTGCTCAAAGATCAGGTGATCTACCAGACGATAACCCAATATCGTACAGAAAGGACTCGGCTCTGACAGACCAAGGCGACAACGGAAGAGACCTGGTTGGAGGCTTTTACGACGGTACGTATCGCTGATGTTCCACCTGATATGTTTGTAAAATCCTGTTACCCGGATAGATTTGTTTGATAGAAGAAGTGATACACAGTCAAATAGAATTGTGCCTAAAACCCCGTGCACAGTAAGGGTCATTTTGAAGCGGAGTCTCCATAAGAACAACATTTGGAAAGTCCATCGATTGCCACAATAAAAGTGTCTTGCCCAAAGACACAACCACGATAGCACAGAGCTTGTTCGTTTCTCAGCTTCTAGTGAAAGAGAAACCGACCCTGGTAGGGCGAGTCGAAGAATTAATAGACTGAGATATCGAGGCTCCTTTGTCATGTTGTCCGAAGTATGACTGAAATACTGTTATAGACATTAGTATAAAAATGGGAGACAATGATAAGAAGTTAGACAGTATATTTCTAACCATTGATTACCATGTGGTAATTTTTTTTTCATTCTTATTCATTTTAAAACAGCTGGTGATTATGTCAAATTCAACTTTCCTATGGCTGCGTCAGTTACTTTGTTAACATGGGGACTGATTACATGGCCTGACGCATACGCCTCTGCCGGACAACTTGATTCCATGTATGACTGTATTAAATGGCCGCTGGATTACTTCGTGAAATGCTGGGATGAGAACAACAATGCCTACTACACACAGGTAGATTAACAGACTTCTACCTGAGTCTTTTAATACTTTTAGACCGAAAAATTAAGTCCAATAAATAACAACCTAATGTCAGTATTCATATTCATAATACTGATATTAGTATCTACATTTTTCTGACTGCGTTCATTTTATAGACAAAAGGTCGGTGTTTGTAAAAGTGGTAGAAACGCATCAAACATGGATGCAGTGAATTTTTACAACATTCTGGTAACCTACCCAGAAATCTTATTTCAAAGTACAAGTTTTCTTCCTTGACGAACTTTTTCAGGCCTTATGTTTGGCTATATTCAAAGCATTTCTCTCTCCGCTTCAATTTTTAGTTATTCTAATTATAGCACACTGTGCGGTATCGGTCTTTGTCAGGTGTTACTAAACATATTTTTACATAGAAACTTCAGATTTAATTGAGATAATATCACGTATTGTGACGTAATAAAATGGCAAGCTAGTAATTATATAATTATATAATAGTATAATATGATATCACATGCATGCTTTAGATGCATATAAATTACATAGGTCTTGTGCCATGGTCACGAATATCTCGACCAGAATGTAAGAATGCTTTTGCTGGTCAGCATTTCATATATACCTTTCATATTGACTTTGTCATAATTTATGAGATTCAATTAATTATTTAACATGAATATGTATTATTAATTGAACAAGTATCAATTATTTTTCTTGTAATACTCTTTTTTAAAAACAAAAGCAAAAAATTTCAAACCAATAGTCGACCTCTTTGAAATACTTGATAGCGTATTAATAAAGCAACACAAAACTGTTTTTTTACCGACATTTTTTTAAATAATGACAATTTTAGGTTGGAAATGGAATCGCTGATCACGCCTATTGGGGACAGCCAGAAAATATGACGATGGCGAGACCTGCACTTAAATTGACCGCAAACAAACCCGGAAGTGACGTGGCTGGTGAAACCGCCGCAGCAATGGCCGCAGGTGCCATTGCATTCAAATCAAGAGGTACCCACTTTATTTTGCAAGTAATAGGGGTTTGATTTTAAATTTGTTTATATATACCAAGACAAAATTCAAGCATTGCCTATTTTCTTTACTTTACTTTACTGCCTAGTTGACAATGATGCAAACATTAATTTGTAGTTTAGAACTTTTTATACAACGTCCGTCGGTTGCTAAGCCCATTGGAATCTCATTCCGCTCGTTTACGTCAAATCATTGGTTCAGGACATTTGATGGGGCGTCTGGTTTCTCTTTAAGCGTGATTTTGCCACCGTATTACTGTTCTGGCGGACATTCTTACTGGAACCATTGACTTCGAAGCTGACATCCCATGATCCTTCGCGCGCTGTGCTAAAATGGCCTCTCATCTCGAGAAATAGTTTTCAGATGTCTTGCTCACGTTTACATTAACAAACATTTCCTGTTGTTCAGAATTTAAATAATAAAATTACTTGCTATCTTTTAACTTCCGATAATTGTCGTCTCTACATCTTAAAATTCAACACCTGAAAACTCCACTCCCGGCGAGGTAGTCTGACAATTCTTTTTCACGTCACGCAGATCAATAATTTTGTTACGGATGGTCGACAAGAAATGATATAGATAGTGCTTAACTTTCGTCTCTGTGTATACATATTTTTCGAACTCCGAGGTTTCATATTAATATTGGTGAAATGACACTAAAATGTGGTAAAACTAACATCTTTAATATACAATGTAGTATTGGTATCGATATGTACTTATCTGTTAAGCCCTTTGTAAAATTCTTAATAACATCCTATGTAGCATATATGTAACATAACTCTGTCTATGCTTTAATGGAAAACAAAAGAGAAATTTTAGTATTGCTAATTACGTTTCGTGAAACCAATTGGAAAACATGTTACAGTCGGACATCGTTATCTGGAACTCTTATAACTCGAAGACCCCATTTAATTCGAAGTATTTCGTCTGTCTCGACCAATCTTTTACCAAACATTTGATCTAACTGAAATAGAATACTCGGTAAATCGAAGCTTTCCCTCCGAGTTCGAAATAATGAAGTTCGACAATATCTGATGTTGTCTTCTTATCTATGTATTTGATAGATCCAGCGTATTCAGATTTGTTACTAAACAAGGCAAAGACTTTGTACACGTTCGCAAAAATGCATCGAGGGAAATACTCGGATTCATTCCCAGAGATAAGAGAGTTTTACGGGTAAAGTATGATAAATTCAATAGAAAAAATGTATACAGCTTCACGTTTAATAGAATTACAAGATATTTGGTATTTAATTCAACACATCGAATACATAAACTTTTTTACATTGTCAACTTACAGCATCAATCCGGGAAAATTTGAATGAGTACACATATCGAAACCGACCATTTAATGTTTTCTACATTTACAGGATTCTAGATTTTGATAAGTTGAAGAATGATGTTTCAGTGTAATGGTTTGAATGCCAGTGAAATCGTAAAGAATATTGGAATGGTTTACATTCTCAATAATGACGATACTATATGACAGTATTTCACGATACGAAGTTGAGACAATATATAACGACATTTTGACAGTATTTCACGATACGAAGTAGACACAATACATAACGATACGAAGTAGAGACAGTACATAACGATACGAAGTAGAGACAATACATAATGACATTTTGACTTATCCAATGAATTTGCCCATCTGATATTTTTTTACTTGTCTCTAGTGTAAGTGTAATATATTCTGGAGCGATTGGCTTGGCCGATAAAAACATCGATCGCGATGTTCAGTTTATATATATAAGCAATGACGTTACGTCATGAATTAGAATTGGCGCATCATGACTCGCAAAAAAAAAAAAAAAAACAACCAAAAACAAAAAAAAATTCTAAGAGTCGTTTCATAAAATCACGTGATACGAAAAGTGATTTAAGATTATATGGTTATTCATACTCACAGCATACATTCCGATGACAAAACACGATCGAAATCGAGATTGCTCTATTTGTTTCGAATGTGTTTTGGTTGGTTTATAGCCATTGTTCACTATTCTATGTATTTTAGGCACGAACAGATTTTTAAAGGTAATAGCTCTTAGGATGATCTTATCAAGGGAGGTAATTAGGAAAATATATGATCAATATATCAATGATTGTTCTAATGTAGTTCTTGCAATAAACATAGAAAACGTTAAACAAAGAAGATATGAAAATACATCAACATTTTACATTCAAAATTAAGATGTCATATGTACCTTCACCCTTAATGATGATGTTTTTAACATATCAACGATGAAGCGTTATAAGATAAAGTAAAGGAAAGGACGAGGTCCTAAGGGAGAACACTCTGTCAAGTTTATCACAATATTTTCAGGTCTAGCGGATATGAGGATGAACTGGCCTTGGCTGCCGCCTGGCTCTATAAAGCAACACAAGTGACAACTTACCTCGCTGAAGCCCAGCTATACTACTCCTCATCTGGCACACCATGGGCTCTTTCCTGGGACTCAAAGACCCCTGCTGTACAGGTATGACAAAGATAATTACAATCTGATTTGCTAGATGAGGCGATTAGTCAACAAGACTAGGGTTAACTTGAACTCACAAGATCAAATGCACCGGACTTTATTTTATATAACGATACTTCATAATCTATTTTTAATTCTAGATTCTTCTCTACAACATTACAAGGGAACCAACGTACCGATCAGATATCTTACGGTTTCTCGAATCTTGGCAGTCTGGGAATGGCCTTCATTATACACCACAAGGTTTAGCATGGAGGGACCAATGGGGGTCCCTACGGTACACAGGTATGTCGCGGAGTCTACATTTATCATGCACTACAAGGTTTAGCATGAAGGGACCAGTAGTGGTCCCTACGGTACACAGATATGTTGTAGGGATGTTATTTATTATAAACTACAAAATGTAGCACTAAGGGATACAAAAATATGCATTTTGCGATATTTAAGTTTGCAGTCGATCATGCATTTCAATTTACAAATGAGACATCGTTACTGTAACAATGTTTGATACCAAATTATGTTTTCTTCAGGTAACACGGCTCTTGTGGCGCTGATGGCGGTCGAGCAAGGACTTGACGAGAAATACCGTACATGGGCACAATCTCAAATCCATTACATGGTTGGAGACAATTACAATGAGTTTAGTTACGTCATTGGATTTGGTAACGACTTTCCACGGAATCCACACCATGCAAGCAGGTTCGATTATAAACTTTCTCCAGTTTTCATTAAAAAAATGAACAATGAAATGTGTTGTCGTACAAGCATTAAATATTTCTTGTACAACATTTCAGATCTGATAAAACTTCTTTCCCTTTTTAACTTTAGAGTTTCTTTTGTGTCTAAAAATTAAAAATGTAGAAGATATTGATTTCATTAAGAAATCATTAAGGCAATTTTGGAAACCGAAAAGCAATTTTTCGAAATGATACAAAGGTTTATTACCGATGAATTGACTTACAGTTCATGTCCGGTATCCAATTTACCTTGTGGCTGGTCTTTCTACAATGATCTGAGCCAGCCTAATCATCACGTACTACTGGGTGCCCTAGTTGGAGGTCCTAGCAGAAATGACGAATATGAGGACAAACGAACGGACTATATAATGAACGAAGTCACATGTGATTACAATGCAGGATTCCAGTCAGCTGTAGCAGGTGAAATGATAAAACAAACACGATATTATAATATTCGTTAATTTTTTTTAAAAAATACATATAAAAGGAATCTTAATTAAAAGACACAATTTCGATGAACTTGTGACAAACTAAGAATAAACGAATGATAAACATGGATATATCTGACATATAACTGGGTTTTCATTATCTTCTTTAAAATCATAGCTAAGAATAGTAGGGATATAAAAATTATTTATCATCTATGCTAAGGATATTTCATCTGTCATATAAAATATTTCTGCCAAGTTTACAAAGTTTACAAAGTGATGCAATGCTCAATCTATCAAGGGAGATGTATAGATTGTAACTACAAGGTTGTTATTCTGGATCTATTGATATATATTCAAGTAAAGAATTAAGTCACAAACTTTTTAATGAAAGTATCGGAAATAAAATGGTCCGTTTTGTGACTTTCATGAAGTATGAAATAGCTATCAATGAAACTGCACAAATTTTAACCATCAAAGTAAGAATCTTTAGGGTAAATTTTGTTAATGATAAAATGTAACCTGCAAACAGATATTTGGCAATCCTGATAATTTCAAAATATACTTGTTCATATCTCGACATGAACGTTTTCTGCTAACCTGGAATGTGTCATGACAAAACCGAACAGCTGATCAATCATTTGTTATGTTCCCTACATGACAGTCTGACCAATCGCATGGCTTAGTGTATAAATTATCATTGTGATTGTATTTTAAGCGTCATTAATCTGGTGCAATGAAATTTTAACACGTTGTCACATTTCGACAACTTAGCGCATGATGAAATCATGTATCCACAGTAATTGTTATATAAACAACATATGTAAACTGCAAATATATGTGAGTGCAATACTTTTTTTAAGGTCTTCTCCATTTCCATGTGCTTTCAAATCCAGTAGAGGTAACGACGATGGGGCCAACTCCATTACCACAACAAACGCCCGGAGGGGATATGGTGGAATCCAAAGCTACAAAGAGTTCTTCATATCTCTTTTTAAGGATGCCCTGCTTATGTCTACTGCTAATCTACTGGACATCTGAAAATCCATTTTAATGACTAGAATGCGTATGAAATACTTTTTTGAAAGTACGATGTATACACACACTGCATACAAATATTCAGTCGTAGAAATTTCTTAATTGCCAATAATCACGATTCTACGTCTGTTCCTTCTAAATATGAAAATAATCGTTTCAAGCAACATTGTACACCATAACCTAAGATATACATATTGAATGTCAAATCGATACATTGCAGTTTGTTCATAATGATATCATTAAAGAATGGAAATTAAACAAGCGAGAAAAAGATGTGCACGATGTCCTCGAAAAAAATTGCATGAAATCATGTTCCGGAAAGGCAACACTATTCTGGTTTTCGTCGTTGATACCCTACATATTTATATAGGTCAAATCCTGACCATGTCATGTTCTTAAAATGGGACTTAAGGAAATGAAAAGATGTCAAGACGTTTACTGACGAGTTCCGATAAAAGAAGAACTTGATGAAGCACTAACGGAGACATAAACACCCCTTGATAATGATGGGCGTGATTTACCACTTAGTATTCATCAAATTTCAGTTTTAAGTATTTCAAAACTCTCCTTCCTTTAATCTTATAAGGATATTAATAATTTATTCAATCTGCAGGGATTATCATTTTTCATAATTTGGATAAAAGGGTTGACTGAGTTTTATGTGAAAGTTTTTGTCCAGCACAGCAAGTTTGATTATTTAGCGTGCCGACTCAGTGTTTCTAATGTGTATCCGTCATCAATCAAATATAAAATGTCTTTCATCAAATCTCGCAACGTCACTAGTAATTGTAGTATAAATCTGTTGGAACATTTTAAAATTAAAATGTACACTGTATACTTAATTGTTGTGGTAGTAAAAATCCTTAAATTATTCTACTAATTGCATAATTTATTGGCTGGTAATTACAAATTGAAATGAATAAGTAAATAGATAAATAAAAAATAAATAATGTGCAGAATGTTCATAGAAATTTTATGCAATACCATTAGAGTTTATATTCTAAATATTCAAATGAGTGATTAATATTCTACAGCATCACGTAATGAATACTTTTCTCTGCTTACAGATTATGATCTTTAAGATACTTTTAATAAACATAAGTGAATACCATATTTCAGTGCCTTCTGGGATTAGTCAGTGATGCTAAGGGCCAAAATTATTAAAACCTTGGAAGCGACTTATGCTTTTGTTATAGATAATATCATTTATTAGTGACAACATATCTGCTGATTTTCATAATACAAATGCCATTTAAAGGTAATATGGTTTGAATTTTCATCTTACTGTCCATATTGTGTTTAGTAAAGTGAACCTAGTTGAAAGGGACCATTTGAATGTGTCGTAAGTATATATACACGAGGGAAATGTTTGTATTAAAGTGTCCTGATCACGTGAAGATTCTATAAACAGAAATGAATGACTAAGGTTCGCTAAAGGTTCTTAAATGAAGCACAACTTTATACGTATTAGAAAAAGGTATGGCGTTGATGACTTGTAATAAATTTGTATAATGTTTACGAAATATGAATGATACTTTGTCATTTTTTATCATATTCATATCATTTCTGTGATGATATGTTACAACAAAGTATTTATTATTCAGAGTTTTTGTGACACATTCATCTACATACGAAAAATATGTAATATCAACAAGTATGGAAATAAAAGCCCACTGAATATATTCTATCCTTCAAACATACGTTTCATGAAAAAAATAATTTACACACATCTCTGTTAAAACAGGGGCACAGCGGCCGAGTGGTTAAGGTGTCTGACCGTCTTTATCACTAACCCTCTGGGTCGTGGGTTCATGACCCCTGGCTGTTAATAGGACTGAAAGAAACAACAAAAAATCAACAATCACCATAAATACACATAATATAATGAGTATATATGTATACTTACGATTGAAGACAAGTTTAGAACTTATCTTTAATAAAGCTCTGCTGTCCAATATGTAATCGTCTTGGCACGAAATTACTCCAAGGGAACATCTACATTGATGATACTGAGATTATAGCATGTGTCCATTTCATTCAAAGATGAATTTATTTTACCTTAGAAAAGGAACATCTGGATCTAAAACAGGAACGGCGAATGTTTCTAATTATGCGGAACTCTATATGGCAAGTAAGAAAAAACTTTTATCTTAATTAAGATATCACACAACAAAATTTCAATTTCATATAATTTCAAACAAAAAATATGTTTTTTGTTTATTAGAGCAGGTTTTGTGCAAGACTTTGCCTGAACTACAGGTAAAGGTATTTGGTTATCATTCATCATAGAATGTTTTAAAGTAGCATCAATGTAATCTTATGAATATGTTTGTAATATCTTTAAAACATCATAAAGGTACTCTGTTCTATCGCACAGCGCTTAGAAAAAGGACATGAATTTAATGTTATATAGCGCTGTAAGATACCAAAGAAACATTACTCATTTCCGAGAAAATTAGCATAATTAATTTTTTTCTCAAATATGGTATGATATGCTGATGTAAACCTTTATGTTGTTGGTATAATGTTTAAAAAATATTTGTACAATTTACCATTCGGCCAATAATATATTCCATAACAGCGTAAATATGGAATTGAAAACCGATCCTAAATATCCGGATTGATGACGATCACGAGATCAAATCGCTGCAAAAAGTTGATAGACATTGAAAAACGAGAAATTAAGTCGCCACTAAAAAGGTTGGTTTGCAGTATTTAAGGAAGCGTATGAGACGGCAATGAACAAAAACAAATGACGTAGCAGTCAAAGTGATTCTTTGACATTTTGTCAAAGACAGCTGTCAACAGTGGTACTTAATATCACCAGAATAAAAAAAATGTGTTCCTAAGATGATGTATATAAAAAGTGTGTATGTCAAACCACAGCTGCTGATGGCTGAGTCAGTAACATTGTGACGTAAGTATCTACTGAATGCTTGGTCGAGTGATGAGTAATGTGAGGATGTGAAAAGAGGGAACACTAACATTTCAAACAAGGAAGAAAAAGAGACGAAAAATATTCATTGCTCATTAATTCACCAACATGATGATTTCACATACACATTGATTTAGTGTTATAGATATCAAAAAGCGTCTAAACAACCTGAAACATGGCAACATATGTGGATGTGAGATACGATTTTCTCAGATTTACAATATACATTAAACCAATAAATTAAGCATGAAAGGTTGTCCTTCAGATAAAACAAACCGACCTGTAATGAAAAAAAAACCTGTTACACCCAAATTCTTACTACCTTTAAGTTCTGTGTGTATCCCGGGAGCTTTACAATATGTCTTAAGAAAAAAGGTACCGTACGCCGGTTATCTAGCCAAAGAAGGAGTCTATGCTTTCTTTAGCATGCAAGTAGAATAGAAAAGACTATTTGTTTCCCCAGGTCATTTCGTGTATTCAGTTTGACAATACTGTTAGTGTTAATCACATATAATGTTTGCCTACATATATCTAAACCCAACGCAACAAAAATAGATTCAATTATTGCCAAAATGTTCTATCTCTGACGTTGCGGGTTAGTACTTTTCATCCCACGTTGAGGGTAGTACACGTGAAGGGTACTGCACAGGTAGTAACACAAATGATTACGCTTCGTGTCAGGGAAATTATTACGCAGAAATCATGAGTGGTACCCAGGAAGTCACGTGTACACAGGAAGTGACGGTAAGTGTATAATATCTTATTCATGATCATTTTAGAGGCGTTTAAAGTTGAGGCATTTTGCACATGAAACTGGAGATATACTAAAAAATAACTATTTTGTTAAGCAATGTTAATGGTCCCCAAAAATTCCATATTCATAGGAATTATTTTAACGTTGTCTACACTTCATTTGATCATTACTTGTATTTATCCTGGTTCTTACGAGGACAGTAATCTATTATCAAAATCATGTGTTGTAAATTTATGACGAGTCTTAATTTGCGGTCAAACAACAGGTATGGTTTCACCTCCCACAAACATATCAGCATATGTCAAAATAATGTTTAGTGACAACAAACCACTTGAAATTTCTTGAAAGCACTGAATAAATCACATAAATGTTACGTGATAATTTGACTACTGTGACAATGCAATTATTGACTAAAGAAAAAAAATCTGCGGTCATTAACAGAAATTACAGTTATAAGTGTTTTATTCTTAATTAATTTTATTTATATCACTGAGCTCTGTAACGTGGCACTGATGTCGTTAATTAATTTTAGAGATCATAATTAATCACTATGTAGATATAAAGCCTTGTCTCGCATACCAGACGCCATTTTTACTTTCGCTGTTGTGGTGACCAGCTCGCAGAATGGCGTCAGCCCTACCGCTTTTAGTGTCCGCTCTGCTGATGCTGGTTTTTATCAATACTGTGGAAGGTAATATTTTGTTATACTCTGTCTGTAATGGTTATATAATGATCGTTTTTACTGTTTCCATGGAAAGGATATACCGTGTGTCTGTGTAAAATAAATTTGATATATGATAATCATTATTTATGTTATGGTTTCACAGAGGATAACATAAAATTGCAGTTTAGCTTATTTCAGTTTTCAACCATTTTCATCATTACTATATTTATTTTAAATAAACAAGATAAATTATTGTATACTTTAACTATATTTTTTGATAAATTCATCTACTTTGTATTTATCTGAGTTCCAGAAAAGAAACTGTGTCGAATAATGTAATTTACATATGCATTCGTTATTAGCGTATATATTGGTTATCGGTATTAAATTAACTATGTTGTAAATGTATGTTATTTCAATGTTGAATAAATGGTTAAGTTGTTCTATGATGTTTAAGAATTTCTCCAGAAATATCGCTGATGTCCAACATTTTTCGCCAGAGTCGACAACGGCAGACCAACATTTTTTCTATGTTGTCATCTTTACGGAATTTTAATACAAAACTATTAAGCAACGTGAAAGCAAATTTAATTCATTAAGACAACCATGAACAGTAAATACAACACAGAGGCGTAAATGCCTGTAAATGTCTTATTTAGTTTC